CAATACATTAGACGAGAAGTGCATTCCGATATGAGGAGTAAGACAGCATTGGAAGAGCATCAAGCAATGCCTATTTGATGGGGACTGGCGAGGTTCAGCCAGTTGGTTTCTCGATCTCCCTCATATAACTTTGCAATTCAAAGGGGATAGCTATTTGATAAAAAAAAAATTGACACCTCATGGAAATGGGCTGCGCAAGGGATTTATCGAGTGGGCCAGTATGGGACGAAGCTCACAGGGATTGGCGCCGGGACGATGAGCTGCAGGAACTCAGGGAGGCCATTCCCCCCCGTTGGATCGAGTTGTTGAGAAAGGACGAAATTACTTCAGGCCAATGGGTGAAGATGAGGGGGGACTCTAGGCCAGCCAGAATATACAGGGTGGAACAGGTGCTGGACGGGGGAAGGTTGCAAGTTACTAGCTGGCAGACGGCAATGGGCTATGAAGGGCTGGGCGAGCCCCTGCAGGAGGCCGGGGCAGAGGATGGGCAAAAGGAACTAAAGATATCAACGGACAGGATTGAAACAGTAGTAGTGTGTGCTCGGGAGGAGCAGTACCTGCCATTCCGGGTAACATCTAGATGCCGGGAGCTGAGGGACACGAGAGAGAGGGGCAGATGTGGTATAGATGTAGTATAAGTAGCTAGGGCGGTGCTTGGAGGGAGGGAGGATGTTACATCTTCGACGCCACACGGGTCCTACCGGACCCGACTTAGGGCTAGAGGGACACATCAGGGCCTAAAGGCCCGACCTTGGGGGGTAACAGGCCGAAAGGCCACGACTTGGACCAGATTACGGACCAGGCCCAAACGACATTTCGTTTTGGGCCTGGCGGCGCCATTTGAGGCTGCCGCTCTCCGGTTGGACCTGAATCGTCGATCTGGACGGTTCAGCCCCAACCAGGGCCTCGCAGCATTGAGGCCGGTCCTCTTCGAACCAGTACTTAGTACTGGTCCAGCCTCACTTCGAGGCCATCGACCTACCGGCATTCTACCGCTACGGTATGGTACAGCGCGATACAGCGCTGGCGCTAAGATTAGCGCAGGAGCAGCGAGGAGCAGCGCAGCGCGGATTAGCGCAGCAGCAGCCAGCGGAGCAGCAGCAGCGGCGACTGGGTTACCGACGGCCATAGCCGCCTGAGGTATTGGGAGTTTGGAGGTTTCTCTCCTCCCTCCCATCGCCAGTCCCCTCTCTCTCTTTCTCTCCTCCTCGGCTCCTTCTCCGTCTTCTTCTTCTTCTTCTTCTTCTTCTTCTTCTTCTTCTTCTTCTTCTTCTTCTTCAGATTGGAGACTTATACTAGTTGGACAGAGATCAGTGTTGGACTTCGGTGGTATGAGACTGTGGTACTTACCGGATTGGAGACTTGGAGATTGTTGGGGTTGATACTYGGCGGCATCACAGTTCGGACACCGGTTACATTTGGACTCTGTATCTCCGACATTGGTGACCGATTGTCCTCGACATTTTGATCTTGTTGGATGACATTTTGGACTATCATATCAGTGACCTATCGGATTCTATCTCGGTGACCTATCGGTGCTGTCTACCTCCCCACCTCCTTCGTCTCTCCTCCCACCTTCATCTGTGTATGTGTGTACGAGATCTGGGCATCATCTATGCTTGGCCCAGACCCCACCATCTCACGATTGTATGTGTGTGGAGTGATGCTATGTGAGTCAGTCTATGTGAGTCAGTCCGTTTATCAGACTTCCGCTGCATATATGCTCATCCTACATTGGTTGATCTTTGGTTCTGCCCATACTCATTGAAGTATGTAACAGAGGAGGTAGGCCAGGATGTAGAAGGGGAATACGGATCTAGGGGGACTACGGGGAGTAAGGGGCGTCAAGGGAACGTAGGGGGGAGGGGGTGAAGGGGGTAGGGGGAAGGGGGAAGGGAGAAGGGGGAAGGGAGAAGGGGGAAGGGAGGATGGGAGGATGGGAGACACGAAACACTCTACCAAATAAATACGAAACAGTACCAACACACCGCTGACATTTAGGAGGACAAGAGATGGGGTAATGTAAGTGCTGGGGTGAGGATCACCTGTGTGTTGGTTGTCCGAGGGGCTAGAGGTTATCATGGGTTACCATAGGTGTAGGGGTTGTAAAACGTGCAAAAGGTGAGGAATGAGTGATGGCCATATGTGAATGGAGTGAAACGGAGGTACTTAGTAGCCGGTATGGAACCGGTGTGGAACTGGTTGGAACCAAATATAGGCTACAGGCATAAGTGATGCAGAGACAACGAACGACGTTGGATTGCACTAGAAACAGGATGTCAAGCGGCCTGAGGAACTGTTAGCGGTGCCCCCCCGCGCCTCGCCTCGCCTCGCCGAAGGCTGCCCTGCTGCGTGACTGGGTGCTGCCAGTAAGCCTCCCGGCCAGCAGGGCAGCCCTCCGAAAGGCCATGGTTTGGGGGGATGGCCGCCCCGAAGCAGTTGCCCCCTTGTCAGGTGACTAGTGCCGCAAGGGATGGGCTGACCATCTGTTTTTAAGGGGCGTATGTGTATTGAAGGAAAAAAAAACAAAAAGAGCTCCAGATCTCCTGTTTTTAAGTTTTCTTTGAATGATATTATACCTCTACAAATCCTGTGTGATCACATAAGATAGAAGTTGACTGCAAGTGCATTTACTAATATTTTATAAATTGCTTGAAAATGCCAGCGCTATCACATGAGATTCCACAACCGCAACACACTTGCAAATCCTTGGAGTAAGAGAAGGGTTCCATTCATTTTTCTGAGTCTGAACGTCCATTTGTATGGAATCTATGGATCCACAAAACCCACAGTTTACACTGGGTTTGAGCTTCAAATTATTAGCCACCTCTTATACAGCCCACGGTAAAGTTCAAACAAATAGGTACATGCCCCAACCGAGAGTCACTTCCTGTCATTCAAGCTCCCAAGACTGTAGAACTCACCTTCCATCTGCCACTTTCGTATTTCCAACCGTCAATTCTGTGCTCACTACTCCTTTTGGGGTGTCCCGCAGCAGCCGCAGCCCCAGCTGAGCGCAGCCATCAGACGTTAAGGTCATCTCAATGCAGCATCCCATCTCCTGGCCTTTCATTATCTCAATGGCAAATATGCATTCCCAGGACATGCCCACAGGGAGGACCAGAGCAGCTGAAAGAGTAATGCTGGTTGCTCCCATGACTTTGGGATCGACGCTATATGGGAGTTTGAACCCAGGTCTCGGTCTATCGTCGATGAGACAAACTGCATCTGGAACTCCAATCTGTCCAAACAAATAAACGAAAACAAAGCAAAATTTAAAGCACCATGTGTGCGACACAAAATATCAGCACAAATCCCCTTATCATTGTCATCAACGAAAACGAAAGCAAAATGTAAAGCACCATGTATGACACAAAATGACAGCACAAATTCCATTGACCTGAGTTCACCTAAACTTATGTTGACTGTGGGATGAAGTCCATCAAGACCATTGTAATTGACAAATGGTTTTCTGCTAAGTGCTGGAACATTCCCCTTGTGAGACGACCTGCAGCTTAAACCACCACTCCCTCCCTAGCCGTTGCGACAGATGGAAGAAAGAACTGTGGCTGCTGGATTGACCATTCAACGGACCAGCTAAACAAGAAGAAGCTCCCATGGCCCTGTGGTAACCAGGGCGGTAAGCACGTCGCGTGGGCAAAGGCAACATCTGTTTGAAAAGAAGAGTGATGTTAGATATGGATAAACCAAACAAACTGAAAGAGAGAACACCCAAGTTTGGACAGAGCTTGACTTGCTGTTTTAGACAAGTTTTAAGAAAGGAATAGAGCTGTTATTGTCAGAACTCCGAACTGTTTTGGTATAAAGCATACTTGCAGCGCACTGTCGTGCGCACGTGATGCGCTGCACCCCCAAAAATAGGGATCACCAGAAATTATTGGGAGGGGGGGGGGTGGTGGAACACCCACCCCTGCCCTCGAAAAAAATGGAGTATACGAGGGAAGAGAGGGGGCCACGTCAAAATCATCAGTTGGAACGTCAAGAGGTTGGGTAATGCACTGACGGAGGAAGATAAATCAAGGGACATCCGGCTAGGTCTCTACAACAGGAACAGATCAAGACCAGATGTGGTTCTACTACAAGAAACACACCTTTCTAATCTCCCAAACCACGGGAACATAAAAAGGGCAATGGCAAAAAGCCTGGGGGGTTGTGCTTCACACTGTGGTCCAACCTAGAAGGGCTTAGCAAATGGGGGACAGCCATACTCGTACCTAATGCTTCCAAACTATGGTCAGAAGGTCAGATTCTCAGCAGCGCGGGAGACAACGTAGAAGGTAGATGGTCATGGCTAGACGTCAGATGGCAAGACGAGGACTGAGAATTCTTAACATTTACGCCCCCAACTCTGGAAACGAACGCTTAGCCTTTTTCAGCAGCATCCAGTCCCTTATCCCGAACCCTCAACCGGTGATCATCGCAGGAGACTGGAACACGACCTTGGATCCAAACCTAGAACGCATCTCTCGCTCTCAACTGATAGGCCCAACAAGAGTAGGGACCCACATAAGAAATATCATGACAGACTTTGATCTCATCGACCCCTTCAGCATGCTGCTCCCAGAGAAAAAGGCATTCTTTCTGGAAAAAAGGAACCAGGGCAACCAAACGTCACTGTCCCGGATCGACTTCTTCTTAATCTCCAAGCACCTCCAAGGATCAATCAAACAGGCTGAGATCCGCCACCGGCGGCCTACCGGGGTTTGGACCACAGACCGGTAGAACTGCTCCTGAATTTTGACCCCCCCACGGAAAAAGGCCAGGGATTCTACAGGATCAACAACTCCCTCTTAGCCACAGTAAGACTAACAAAGGCAGTCAGATGGAACTGGTTCTTCTTGAGACAGAACAGTGCCAGACTGGACAACAGACATCAATGGTTCACCAATAGTTACACAGACCTTACCCAAATAGTCTCGGCGGAATCCAGAAGCATTGCAGGAGAATGGAAAATCAGAAAAGAAGAGCTCCAACTCACCATATCTCTCGCGGAGGACAACCTCGTCGCGGACCCCTCAAACACCTTCTACAGCCAGCTACTCGACTCAGCAACAGAAGAACTCAACGATCGGAAGAGATGGAAACTGAGAGGTCTGCAGATTAGAGCCAGGATGACCGACCACACCCTTAACGAATCCATGACGAAGCACTTCTTCACAAAAATCAAAGCTAATGCCAGAAACAACAACATTGAAGGGTTGAAGGACCCGGACAATCAGAACAGAGTCGACCAATCGAAGCCAGATCTTTCTACGCACAGCTCTACGAATCCAAAACAACCCCCCCCCTCCCCTCAACCAACTCAACAGCACGACAGCGAATGATGGCCTACCTGGAGAAAATCACACCAGAACAGACCAAGAGGCTGGACAGACCACTCTCGTTGGGGGAACTACACACAACCATGACTCAGATGGGTAACAACAAATCCCCGGGCATCGATGGACTATCGAAAGAATTCTGGGTCCACTTCTGGCCCACACTAGGCAAGGATCTTCTCAATTTCTTCAATGACAGCAGAGACCGAGGAGCACTGGGCCAGAATCTGAGTACAAGTGTCGTATCGTTACTTCACAAGAAAGGTGAGAAAGAGGATTTGAAAAACTACAGACCCATCTCGCTACTAACAACCCCCTACAAATTCCTTGCGAAAGCACTAGCCAACAGGATCATAAATCTAACAGACAAATGCTTTCACATTGACCAAGCTGGTTTCATCCCACGTCAATACATACTGGACAATGTGACGGCTCTAAACGAGGCGGCCGAAAAGATTACCGAAAAAAGGATGAAAGCAACAATCTTGTTCTTTGACTTCGAAAAGGCCTACGACCAAGTTAATTGGGATTTCCTTCACGCTTGCATGGAAAAAATGGGAGTCGGCCCGAATTTTAGGAAGTGGGTCAAAGTGTTGTACGCTGACGCAATCGGTAGAGTGCAGGTCAATAGGATCTTATCGGAAACCTAACCCATCTCCAGGTCCGTGCGACAAGGAGACCCCCTAGCTCCATTCATTTTCCTCTTCATCATGGAAGCCATAACATCCTTCCTCCGCAAAGATCCATCCATAGACCGACTCACCGAACGAAAGTTCAACCCACTGCACGACTTGGCCCTACCCACTGCCCTGATGTTCACAGACGACCTCACAGTCCTTGTTCGTGCCAACAACAATTCCATCCAAGCTCTCGTCAAGGCAATGGAGGCTTTCTGTCTAGCATCCGAAATGAAGGTCAACTGGAGCAAAACCGAAGAATGGTGGCTAGCGGACGAGACACCCCCCCGACCCAAGGGCACAACCACACACATGTCATGGTCCACAGGTGAACAGGCACTCAGATACCTAGGTATCATGGTCAACAAAGAGGGCTTGTGGGCAAGAATGGGCCACAACTTAATTGCCAAAGCAATAACTTGCCTCGCCCCGTGCAAGAACGCACAGGCATTGCTGATTGGGAGGGCACTAATAATAAACAGGACTATCTTTTCCACATTACGGTACATTGCATCCATCTGGTCTCCCCCGGATGTAAACTTCCAAACCATAAAGGCCAGAGCAAGATGTTACCTATGGACAAGGGATCCCAACCGAACCTCGTGCATCAACAGGGTAGCATGGAGTCACGTCATTAGGAAATCGCGATAAGCTCCCCACCTAACATGAGCGGGTACTTATGGATTATGGCAAAGGAGTGGGTGATAAAATCAGACAGCTCCCGCAGAAGAACCACACGAAACTCAGACAACCAGGCAGCCCCAACACCCAACCCGTACTGGACCCCGACTCTGAAAGCCTGGCCGCGAATGAGGCCAAGCAAACATGGCACAACTGATAACAAAGAGGAGGTCCTGAGACAACCACTGTTTTGTAACGATTGGATCAAGGACCCCGAGGGTACTCCCTGGTCACTAAGAATGACGGATCGAAGATGGATGTCTTGGGTCGAAAAAGGGGTGTGGCAGGTAAAACGCCTATGGGCAAAAGAACGGGGAGAATGGCGAACGAAACAAGAACTCCGATCTCCTCTAAAAGGTTGTCATTCTCTCGCAGACAACCTTATTCTAATTCAGAAGAACATCCCACCCAATTGGCTGCGCCTCTTGAAAGAAGACTTCTCTTGGAAACCAAGGTGGACTGGGGTACACTGATATCCCAAACATCTCCCAACAAAGCATACCGGTTTGTATCCCGCACCTAAGCCACCGGCTACCTGTCCAAATTTTACTCCTATCCTGCCGCCAATCACAACCTTCAGGAACTAGCCATCCTCAATAGAGAACCACAGTTAGAGACGATAGAGTCCTTCCGACTGAGAAAAGTGAGAGTATCGAAGAACAAACCGTGGATAATCTTTCAGCCTAACAGCAGCATAGCAGAGCTCGAATTCGATCCAAAGGAGTGGATATGGGAACAACGAAAATCCGAAACAACAAGAACGATAATGGAATATGATGTAAAATTCGGGTACAACCTAGACCTATAGACTGCAAACCCGAACCCCAAACTTAAAGACAAATGGAGAGAGACTTTGAACCTAGAGTCGGCAGCCTCAATATCCATCCCCTGGACAAAATACCCCCCTATCAGACCAGCTAGAATTCGCAGCTTACAGTGGCTCCTAGCCCATATGACACTCCCTGTCAACCAGTGTCTCCGCAAAAGAAGAAAACACTCGGACCCCGACAGCTCGGAACTATGCGTACTGTGCTGCGACAATATCCTTGAAAACATCCCGCACTGTCTCCTCTACTGCAGTCAGGCCGCCTGGATATGGAACAAAGTCTGAAACCTATGGTCCCTTCTCTTCTCATCCCCTCCCATCGGCTTCACCCCCCTGAACATCCTACTTCTATCTAACATCCCCGACAGTCTCAGAGACAGAAAAGCGGTATGGTTTCACATGCTCAAAGGGTTCAGAAGTGGCCAAGGAGGAACTGTGGATCCTCTTGCTGAGGATGGTGGAAACAGAGATACGATGCAAATAGAGGAGTGTATCGACAGCAACGAGAGGCAAACTTGAAAGATTTACACTCAGGATGCGAATCTTTATGAGAGACTGGTTGCTACAGGGAAAGATCGCGACAATCTCAGACAATAAACTACACTGCAAGAAATGGGCCACCCCAACAACGACAAGGAATGTAGCCCTGAGAGGGACAAATTGAGGTTCTAGCCACAGACTGACAGATATCTCTCCCAGTTTCTTGTGCTTCAAAATC